TGTTAACATAGTGCTCATCTTTAGAAAGGGGGAAAAGGAGGAGCTGGGGAACTATAGACTAGTCAGCCTGACATCAATACCAGGGAAGCTACTAGAGCAATGTATAAAACATTCAATTTGCAAATACCTGGACAATGAAGGGGTAATCGATAGCAGCTGGCATGGATTTACTAAGAACATAGCATGACAAACCAGCTTGATATCCTTCTTTGATAGGGTACATGGTTTGATGGATAAAATAGACCTGGACTTCAAAAAGGCTTTTGACACAGTCACATGAGTAAGCTGGAGAAATGCAGGAACTCCCATTAAGTGGATATATATTTGGTTAAACAACCGCAAGGAAAGAGTAACTATTAATGGAATGATGTCAGATTGGAGGGATTTCTCAAATGGGGTTTCACAGGGTTCTGTTTTGGGTCTGGTGTTATTTAACATCTTCATTCACGACCTGGATGTAAGAACAGAGAGCATACTGATCAAATTTGCAGATGACACAAAGCTGTGGGGGCGGGGGTTGCAAACACTTTGGAAGATAGAGCAAAACTTCAAAGGGATCGTGATTAATTGGTGAACTGGGCTATAGGCAACAATGAAATTCAGCAAAGACAAGTATAACGTGCTACACTTGAGGAAGAAAAACCCAATGTACAAATACAGAATGGGGGATAACTGGCATGGCAGGGGCACCGCTGAGAAGGATCTGGAAGTTGTGGAGGATCACAACCTCAACATGAGGTCAACAGTGTGGTGATGATGCAAAAAGAAGCAAATGCATTAAGAGAAGCATAGCATGCAAATCACAGGTGATGATAGTACTGCTGTACTCAGCACTGGTTAGGCCTCAGGGGGAGTCCTAGGTCCAGTTTTGGTCCCCAGTGACTAGATAGGATGTAGAAAAACTGGACAGAATCCAGAGGCAAGTGACAAATATGATCAAAGGGATGGAACACAAGCCAGTGCACAAAGGCTGATGGAACTGGGTGTGTTTAGTTTGGAAAAAAGAGTTAATGGGGGGGATATGACCGTGATCTTCAAATACTTGAAAGGCTGTGTAATCGTGCATGGCCGTCCCTCCTGGTCTGTCTCTGAGGGAGGCCACACCTCCTCGCTGTTGGGCTCTTAGTACTGCAATCAATTAAGGGGGAATTAGGAGTCTTCAAAGCTCAGGGCACTTGATCCAGGCTGAGCAATAGTGAGTCTATGATGCCCGTCCCTCAGGCTGGACTGGACACTGACAGTCAGTGCTCTGGCCTGAAATCAGGGCAGATTTGCAAAGTCTACAATCCCAGGCCCTCAGTCAGGGTGGGACAGCAAACAATTAAGCGCTTTGCCCAGGGTGAGCACCAACAGTCTAGGGTTCAGGAAGGTGTGGGCACCAAACAGCCTAGCGTCCTAGCTCGGTGGACGGTAGACAAACACAGGCCTCCTGGCTGAAGCTGAGGAGGCTACCACCCCACGGGCGGGGTGGCAGGAAGTAGGGGGACCCAGGGCAATCTGACTCCACCAGGTCCCAGCCCAGTGCCCTAACAGTGGCAGTGTAGTACGCCACTGGATCAGTGGGGATCCACCCACAACACACTGACTTAGTGTCAGGTGAACCCTCAACCAGATGATGGTCTAGTTTCCCTGAGCTACTTCCCACAATTCCCAGGTACCTCTGACCTCCGTTGGTGGTCTGTGGCAGCCCCATCATCGGCTCATTGGCCCCTCGACTGGCTGGTGACGCTGGGAGCTCTGGCCAGTCCTCTGGCAGCAGCCCCAGCAGCTCCTCAGTGTCCCGCTCCGGCAGCTTGTGATAAGCATTTGTCTCCCTCAGCAGCTCCAGCCCAACTGAGCTGCAAGTCCCTCCTTTTGTATTTCTGCTTCGTTTCCCGCCCCTCATTCCGGAGGGGTGGAGGTGGCTTTCCTGGCTCTGTAGCCCAATGGGCGGGTTGTGGTCCTTGCTGGTCTTCCTCATTACAGGCTGCTATACAAAGGATGGAGAACCGTTCTTCTCTCTTGCCACAGAGGGCAGGACAAGAATCAGTTGGTTCAAACTACAGCACAGCAGATTTAGATTAAATCTCAGGAAAAACTTCCTAACTGGAAGAACAGTAGGACAATGGAACAGATGCCTAGGGAGATGGTGGAAGGTTATTCACTGGAGGTTTTCAAAAGGAGGCTGGAGCCATCTGTCTTGGGTGGTTTAGTTGCAGCAAATCCTGCACCTTGGCAGGGGGTTAGACTAGATGATCTTTGTGGTCCCTTTTATCTCTATGGTTCTAAGGGGAACAGGGGGTCAGCCTTGGAAAAAGCTAAATCTAGCGTGTCGCCCATTAAGGGTATGTCTGCACAGTGTCTGGAAACTGCCTCCCAGCCAGAGTCCATGCTTACTCACTACAAATAACGGTGTAGGCACTGTTGGTTGGGCTGTAGCTTGGGTTCTAAAGCCAGGAGTTGAGGGGAGTGGGTGGGCTGGATGGTCTGAACTCCAAGAAGAGCCCTAACATCAAAGCAATGTCTCCACAGCCATTTTTAATGCACTAGCGTGAGACTCAGCCTGGAAGGCAGCTGACTCCCTGATGCACTGTAGACATACCCTAAAGAGGGGTTACCAAGGGAGACTGTATGAAGGTTGGGTCACCGAACTCCCTGTAAATACATGACCCAGCCCCCTCCCTTGGCACTCTTTCACCACGCCTTAGTGGGTCACAACTGAGGATGCCAAATTCAGGACAAATTGCTGAGAAATAGGGAAAAAACAACCCAAAACTTGTGGTTATTCTTTTATAAGATGGACCAAACCACCCACAAAAGTAAACTCCTGTTTCAACACTCTGGCTAACAAGAAAACATAAAGGCAGTTTTCTCAGGCATTCCAGTTCTTATAACACCAGCAAAAACACTGGATTCAGAGATGAGTAGTTCTTTACAACCAGTGTCATTAAATAATAGTTTCTTCTGATCCCAAAGGGCCAGCCACTCCTGGGTCAATATACAACTTAGATCTTACCCAAAAATCAGGCTGGTGCCAATCCTTTAGTATCTAAAATCTAAAGTTTTATTCATAAAAAGAAAGAAAGGTGAGAGTTAAAATCGGCTAAGGGAATCAATTACATACAGTAATGGCAAAGTTCTTGGTTCAGGCTTGTAACCGTGATGGAATAAACTGCTGGTTTAAGTCAAGTCTCTGGAGTACATCTACAGCTTGGATGGGTCACAGTCCTTTTTTCAGAGCTTCACTCTGTAGCAAAGTTCCTCCAGAGGTAAGAAGCAGGATTGAAGAGAAAATGGAGGTGTTTCCAGGGCCTTTTATAGCTTTTGTCATGTGGAGGGCATTTCATTGTTCTTATTGTGAAAAATTATAGCAACAAGCTGGAGTTTGGAGTCTCATGAGCAAGTCACATGTTCATGCCCAATTTCCCTCAGTCATTTCAGAAAGCCATTACCTAGATTCCAGACAACATATTTACATGACAGTCCACTCAGTGTAGATGGGCTTCTCCCATGGTCCATTGTCAACCAAATGTTTCTTGATGAACTGCTTAGTTTGAACAGTCCCTCCAAGATGTGCTAGCTAGCTACCTTGTGGGTGTTACCCTGTTATGCTTATAAGAAGCAAACGGAATCTTTTTCAGGGGGAAAGGAAATATGCCACGTTGATTGAAGATACAATTAGCATATGCATTCAATCACACACCACACACACACATTGTCCCGCCAGTCAATGTTATAGTTACCAATACAGAGTCCGGATCAACCTAGTGGCCAGCTAGGTTGATCATGGGTAGGAGGAGCCGGGTTCAATCAGTCATGACATGATGCTCCGGGGAAGTCTTGGCAGGATGAACCCAAAGTTTCATGACAAAGCACCCTCTTTATACAGTGATTATCCTTCATTGGGACCAATCAGTTTTGCACCGTCATGCTGTAATCAATTGTTGCTTGACGAGTGCTTGTTTTCTTAAATTGTCCTTCTCATCCTTTATCTTGTTCTTTCATCAAGTTCCTCAGGGAGTTATCACATATTGGTTTTGATCAGAGCTATCTTGTCCCCACTGATAGGTGCCTATCTCATCTTTAGAGTCCTCAGTCTGCCCACCTCTGACATTTCAATAGGGGCGTGTTGCAGCCTCCTGGCACCCTTGCATCTGTCTCCAGTTCCTCCCTTGTACATCTCATTCAGCGATGGCCTTCACATTTATCTCTTAACACATACATTCCTCATTCACACACAAAACAGAATTAATTTACAAAGAACATTTTGAACAGGAACATCAAATTTCAATTCAAAAGAAAACAATCATGGCATTCTTTTACTTATTTTAAAATGCTAAACGTACAACAGGGGTAGGCAACCTATGACACGCATGCTGAAGGCGGACCATGAGATGATTTTCAGTGACACTCACACTGCCCGGGTCCTGGCCACCAATCTGAGGAGCTCTGCATTTTAATTTAATTTGAAATGAAGTTTCTTAAACATTTTAAAAACCTTATTTACTTTACATATGACAATAGTTTAGTTATATATTATAGATTTACAGAAGAAGACCTTCTAAAACATTAAAATGTATTACTGGCACACAAAACCTTAAATTAGAGTGAATAAATGAAGACTCAGCACACCACTTCTGAAAGGTTGCCGACCCCTGACCTACAACAAATTGGTGACCCTAAAAAGGTCTGTTACTGCCTTGAAATCAGTCCAGACACAGATTCTGGCTGATGTATCTCTACCCATTGGCCCATTAGGCCATTCCTTTCTGTTATTCTAAAAGGGTGGCTGGCAGGATGTGATCAGATCATACACCAATACATTTAATACATGCTACATTCTTATTCTTTATCCTTCATTCTAAATTATATAAAATACCAACATAAAATCCTCCTACTACATTTGGGGGAAGAGTTTGGGGGAGTTCAGTTCCTAATTTGTATTTGACCTCTCTCCAGCACTTGGTTTGGTTTGGCCTTCCCCTTTCCATCCCTGTTTGAGGTTTCTGTCTCTATCACAGCAGGTGATGCAATGGTATGTGAGAAAGAGGAGCAGAATTCTCAGAAGGAAAACATTGAGCAAGTGGATAAACACAGAGCATCATTGCATAGATCAAAAAGGAATGTGTCCAGGAGTCATGAGCAGGGAAACTCCTGTGAGATTCAGCACAGACCAGAAAGAGAGCAGGGAAACCATCCAGGGGAGAAAATGGGTAAATGTATTTCCTGCCTGGGAACTCAGAAGGACCAGAAGGAAACCACAACACAGTAGGAAATCCTCAGGGAAAAGAGAAAAAATGCGTGCACTGAGCATGGGAAAAATTTATGTGACTACTCAGTCCTTATAAAGCATCAGAGAATCCACACAGGACAGAGGCCCTATGAATGCCGTGAGTGTGGGAAATGCTTCACTAAGAACTCAGCACTTTCTGAACATCAGAGAATCCACACAGGGGCGAGGCCCTATGAATGCAGTGAGTGTGGAAAAAACTTCACTCTCTGATCAGCCCTTTTTCACCATCAGAAAATCCACACAGGGGAGAGGCCCTATGAATGCAGTGAGAGTGGGAAAAGGTTCACTCAAAAATCAGCTCTTTTTCACCATCAGAGAATCCACACAGGTGAGAGGCCCTATGAATGCAGTGAGTGTGGGAAAAGCTTCAATTGCAGCTCGAACCTTATTAGGCATCAGGGAATCGACACAGGGAGAGGACCTATGAATACCGTGAGTGTGGGAAATGCTTCACTAAGAGCTCAGCCCTTTCTGAACATCAGAGAATCCACACAGGGGAGAGGCCCTATGAATGCAGTGAGTGTGGGAAAACCTTCGCTAGCAGTTCAATCCTTTCTGAACATTAGAGAAACGACACAGGTGAGAGGCTCTATGCATGCTGCAAGTGTGGAAATACCTTCTCTTGGCACTCAGCCCATGTTAGCCATCAGAGATGAACACCATAAAAACCTCTAGGGCTATCCATCCTTTTTCTTCCTTAATACTTTTCCTGATTCCCACATAGTAACTTTTAAAGCTCTTTGAACTGTTTGCAGCACCGTTATCCCTCAGCTTGTCCGATGAGGGGCCCATTTTTGCCTTTTGACATTCACTGTGTTTTGAAGTTGACCTATTTGTTCTTTCTATCAACTCCATTGTCCCATGACTATTTCAAGTGTGCCTTTCCTATCCAGAACCAGGGAGCATCACAGGTATACCATTCTTCCTATTGCAAAGTTATTGTTAGAGTCACCAGTGATACAGTTTGTATCATTGCCAGTTGTTCTCATGTTGCACTGGGTTTTGCTGAAGAGCAGTTATATTGGGAACTTTTCAAATTATATTTAAATGAAGAGGAGCAGGGGCAGGGGAAAAAGTGTCATTTCAGCCTCTGTGACACTGGATGGAGATGGGGAGACTCAGAGATTCCCTCCTTCCCCATCACTGCAGAACTGTTACCTTTTGTCTGAGCCATGCAGAGTTTATCTTCGTCACATTCTACCCCTCCACTTCTCAAAGTGTCATGTGAGGAAGAGTTCTCAGCTGTCTGTGCTTGGAGATGATGCTTTGACTTCTTTAATCCTATATCAGAGTCGCTATGACTAGAGATGAAAGTGTCAAAGACCTGGAAGGGGAATTCAAATGGATCCCAAACACAGTGTGATCATTGGGAGTTTAAATCCAAGGTTTC